TCAAGTTTTAAGGACAGATTAGAAAAAAAATCTCGTAACATTTCATGTATACCTTGCACCAAATATATTAATATACATGTATGTACATATATTATGTATTTCATCCTTTTATTAAACATACTTTTTGGCCTTCATCTGTTATTCCTGAACACTGGGCAACCTTTTTTTCTTAAATTTGACAAGTTTGCAAATATAATGTACCGTGATATTTTAAAGATTTTTTTAGAAATCCGAATCGTTAAAACACCGTGAACACCTTGTGATAATGGATTTTTCATCCCCCCTCTTTATCTACAACCTCAATTATACTAGGCTAGACACTTCATATCTAACTTCATTAGAATTATTATCAAGGTTTCTTAATCCCTCGACAAATAGAAAGATCCGGGCTAGCCCAGATTGGACATTATTGGAATAATTACTGCCACGCTGACCGATAAAGTGGGCGTGTCCTTCGGTACAAAGAACAGACAGTGGCGATAGTCAACAAAAACATACCCGCGCTCAAAAATCACTCATCCGGGGACGTTTTAACAGGGAAATATTTAGTGAATGGAGAAAAAATACACACTGTAAACATTGCGATTTTGGTCAATTCAGGTACTTGCTAAGCCAAGCTGAGGAATTTATTGGCCGCGTTATTTAAAGTTTAAAAGGCATTTTGGTTTTTGTGATTTTTGCAAAAAGCGACTTTTTGAAAAAAGATCATTTTTAATTTTTTTGAAGGAAATATTAAGCAATGGCGGACTCTGAAGCCAAATCGTCCGAAGTGAAATTGACCATCACAAATGAAAATGTTAAAACAAAGGATGTTACGGAGGGAGAGGAAATTGACCTTCATGAACGAGATCCGAACAACTTACACGAAGACCTCAAGGTAACTAAGCATTTTTTTTCTGCATCATAATTAAACTTTAAAAAGGGTTCCACAAATTATAGGTTGCTTATTTTTACTTTTTGCACATTAATTAGCTAAGGGCTTTAAAATCGTTTGGATTCCAAAAATGTACAGATTGATTAATTTTAATTTCCTATTCAAGCAATTTTAAGAAATGAGTTTCTTAAGAATTATTCAAACATAAGGGAATCATGTTTGATGTGCTTGTTTAAGAAAAAAAGTAATTGATTAGAAACATGTGTAATCGTTCAATAGTGTTGTTTATGATTGCTGTTTTGTTTCCAACAACTGAAATATACTTAAAGCGAACAGAAACAACAAAATGTTTACTTTTATTAATCTTTCTGCTTAAATGCATTTTACGAAGTATTCCATTTGCAAAGCTACTACATGTATAATCTTAGTTTTGCAATGCACTGACACGAGCATTTTTTTCCTTCTGCACAAGAAAGCGAGTCACGTAATATATAACTGTGAAATGCCACTTTTTGAATTCTTTCACAAAATGACCACCTAATCTACCAGCCATCTCAAATAATCTGATCTATTTGCGACTGGAGGGTCTCTCTCTGCTCTCATTTCTGTATAAATTGTTTACATTTGAACATTCTTTCCAGATCCAGTTTCAAGAAATAATAGGCGAGCCTCATGAAGATGTCTTCTCCTTTGACTGTGTGTGGATCAACTCCTACAAGGTTTGTTCGGTCGCCATTACGCTGGTATTCTAAACCTTGGCCCAGGGACCACTCGTCTTTTATTATTTATCAGTTGACTGGCCGTTAAGTGGACATATACACGTCAGGAAAATCCAATATTCCTTAAATAAACCTGTTTGTCCTATATCTTATTCTCAGCTTTTAATAAAGTCTTTCCTCCAGATATTCTCTGGTAGAATTTGTATGTGAGGGGGTAACAGAGCACCATTGATTTATTTGTGTAACTGACTAGGGTAATTATTTACATTAGCATCAGCTGGCCTCGGTTTAAAAGGAAAATATAATGCTCGTGTTGAAAGTCGTTATATTGAGTTAGTAGTTGGTATATGTATCAAATGACTGGAGGACAACATTCGAGTTTCCTCGGTCCTCAGGGAAGCGATATGTATTTAATCTATTGACGTGAAGAAAACTGCAGTGCGCGCCATGTTCATCAGCCCTTCATTATGTTCAACATGAAGATGCGTGGGACATTTCGTTAATAAAACGTCAATCTGCCCAACAAATCCATGGCGGTCAGCGACAGCGCCACCTTTTGGGACGCAGCACGACTGCAATCAATACGCGCATGTTCATCCTTAGTTCGACCAATGATGTCCTTTTATACCGATTTATGTGAAAACTGGGTCAACTTAAATCTTGAACGTAATTATAGTTTAAAAGCCCGTATGTGACATGGATCTTTTTATGTTTGATTTTCATGGGATCTAAATTTTATGAATACCGAAAACATTTTTATGTCTACACATTAAACCAATAATGACATAGCCCCCGGACTGTCAAAATATCAAGCTCTGTTGCACAAGAAATCTCGAGATACATGTATCTTCCATTTTACCTTTTTAGGCCAAACGCTGTACTTGAAATTCCAATGTACTACACTGTCTTAAAATGAATACTAGTATTTAAGTTTCAGATTTTAAGGTTTCATCAAATGACCAAAGGAGCTCTTCGGTCGTTCATCCCAATTTTGTCAAACGAGCTACAGATCTGCAGCTATACCGCTATATATAGTCCGTATCCTCTTAAGATTTCCCGTGTGTATTGCTATTTCTATGATAAAGAAAAAAAAACAGAAGAATAAATTTTTCAATGATTGAATTACTCAAAACGTATTTTAAGAGTTGAAAAAGGGCACTTCATTTCCAAAAAAGTCACCTTCGTTTTCGTGCCTAGAAGAAATGTATCTGTGTTTTTTAATTTGTAGAGCTATTATTGTTGAAACTTTTGAATTCACCAGACGGCAGTAAATACCATATAGTCACAAGCCGCGGTTGAAAAGAAAAACAACACCACTTTCCAAAAAACCTTCAAATTATTTAGAGAGCTTAATCTTGCAAAATGAAATCTAAAGAAAATAGCATTTAGGCTGCGTTTAATTTTATATCCAGGACACTTGCAGGGATCGACCCAAATTCACACCCGGGTTTACATTAAGGTCAGACGATACGTTCCCGGAATATCTGTTTTGTATACATCTTCATAATATATGAAAAATATACAAAATTTTTTTTACTTTCTGATTTCTAAACCGGTTTCTAGTTGTTTTTAAAAATTTGTAACACTAAAAATGTAATTTTAACAAACTAAGTATTTTTCCCCTAAAGGATTCGGTAGGAAATGCCATCCTCTGGTATCTCGCACAAATGCCTGGTAAGGTACCTCGATTTTTTGTGAGTAAACGTGTTAAATTAGTTACTCTTCAATGACAAAAGTTTGGAAAAAAAAAATGTATTATTGAGGAACGTCTCGTCTGTCCTTAACAACGGCTCGATCGATGTACAAGTATTTCCCGTCTTTTAAAATATCAGAAGTCAAAGAACGACAACTCAAGCCACGAAACAGTTCAATGCAAAATGTAATACACACAGAATGTATGAATTTGAAGACTTTGATATTCGACCGTTTGAACGCAAAATCAATAGGCGTCCTCCTTCAGCCATAGGGAATTGTAATGTAAAATATAACTACAAAAGCTTCTCGAGGTATCGCGCGGAAACAAAAAAGTTATAGAAAGACGGAAAATACAAACGCATGGACAGACAGACGAAGAGGTCGAAATACGTATCCCCCAATTTCAGTGAAAGCTGGGGGGGGGGGGATGTTGAAAAAAGAAACAAGAAAGAAAGGAAAAGAAAAAAAAATCGCTTTACATTTGGTAAAATCAAATTATACTGACTCCTCTCGTGTTAATTAATACAAAAATATGGCAGATGCATTGTGATTTTAAATGAGGACGAGAAGCTTTTTTTTCTTGTTTGTAAATGTTTAATTTAGTGCACATATTCAGGTGTATTACAAAAGTAATTATACCTGATTCCGATGACAAACGTCTGTAATTTGGAAGGGAGTGGGGTATGTTAATTATTATATAAGTAGGTTCAGATAAAATTTCTCTTTTGTTATCATCCACACGAAATTTTATCTATACCTAAATGTCAACAATTTCAGCATGCCCAGCTTGACAAAATCTGATAAAAATGGGCCAGGATAAATATGAGAATTTAATAGATGAAAGAAAAGTTAGTAATACCAGATAGAGTTATCTCTCTTCTCGAAGAAACCATGACCATTAGCATTCATTTTGTATAGTGAATGTGGGAGGATGGGGTATGCGACCTGGGGCCCGTTTTTCAAAAGAACTTACGACTAAGACCAAAACTTTCATCTGATTGTGAAATTACGCAATATCAATGATTTTGTGTAAATTTGCTAGTAAAGTATCTTTCTACATACCTTTTTAGCTCTACTGGTCAGAGACCAGAAGAGCTTAATATGCGATAGTAATGCATCCGGCGTCCGTCCGTCTGTCCTCTCTCTGTCTGTAAACAATTTTTCAAAATGCTACACCTCCTACAGTTTTGGCCTGATTTCAATATAACTTGGCACACAAGTAGACTACACTAAGATATCGGTTTTTGATTTCGATGAATGGTGTTGCCGTTGTTTCTAAAAATAGAAATTTCTGTGAAATTCTTTCAAAATGCTACTCCTCCTACAGTTTTGGTCTGATTTCAATATAACTTGGTACACAAGCAGACTACACTAAGATACATAATTCTGTGTATCGGTTTTTGATTTCGATGAACGGTGTTGCCGTTGTTACTAAAAATAGAAATTTCTGTGAAATTCTTTCAAAATGCTACGTCTCCTACAGTTTTGATCTGATTTCAATATAACTTGGTACACAAGTAGACTACACTAAGATACATAATTCTCTTTATCGCTTTTAGATTCTGATGATCGGTGTTGCCGTTGTTACTAAAAATAGAAATTTCTGTGAAATTCTTTCAAAATGCTACGTCTCCTACAGTTTTGGTCTGATTTCAATGTAACTTGGCACACAAGTAGACTACACTAAGATACACAATTCTATATATTGGTTTTTGACTTCGATGAACATTATTGCCTTGGTTACTAAAAATAGAAATTTCTGTAAAATACTCTCAAAATGCTACTCCAAATACAGTTTTAATCTGATTAAAATATAATGTGTCATGCAAATAGACTACTCTGAGAACATAAAGAGACTTATTCCAGGATCATTATTCTATTTACTGCTGTTGTAAAGTTCCAATTCCCAACTGCTTAAGTACTTTTCTCTTCCTTTGCTATAAGTACAAACCAGTAGAGCTTCAGTCTCGACAGAGACTTCTGGTTTTAAAAAGTTCAAAACAATTTTCTGTTTTATATAAATAAGAAAGTTATTAGCAGAATTATATTTTGGTCTCAGTTGTAATTATTCAAAAAGAAAAAAACGGGCCCATGGAATCTATCTTTTGATGTCATAACAAAAAAAAATTATTTCGAATTTTCATTAACACTACAAACTTGATAAAATCCCTTTCTTCTGATTTCAGATTTTCACAAACACCAAGATCTGGTGCTACAGAATCACCAGTCTGATCTGCGCACTTCCGGTGTCATTCTGTTGGGGGATCTACTTCGCCTGCTTCGCCTTCCATAACATCTGGATCCTCATGCCCTGCCTGAAAGCCTACGGCATGAACCTACGAATCCTCCGGTCCTGTTTCAACAGTATTATAGAGACATTTGTCAAACCCTGCTATCTGGCTGCAGGCTACATTTTCTATAACATTCGGATAACGAAGGGAAGTGGTGACTGAGAATTTGACGTGTGTTGGACTTTATTTTTAAATTATGCACAGTACGGTGTACTTTTTTAATACTCAGTTGTTTCCATTTCTGTTGTTTATATAACATACGGGACTAACACCATCATCTACGCATTTTTGTACAATTTCAGTAAATTTCTTAGTATGTTTCCTATATATATACGTACTGTTTTACGTTAACATGTGTATCGTGAAGTTTATTACATGTATGTGCATGAATATGAATGTTAAATTACAGGTACATGTATGATGCTGAATTATGCATGATGTGTAAGAAAATAAAAAAATTGAATAAATATTTCCACATATTTGTTTTCTCTGATTCTTAATCACTACTATTGGATTATAGCAGCACACACATGGCAATCGTGGCATTCCCCCTCTACAGATATTTTTTCCTTCACTTTTTGTCAAATATGATAAATTGCTTTGTTCTATGGAATTGGGGTGTAGTGTAACAGTGCACGTATTGCACTTTATCAACTTTTCACTTCATATTTCATATGGTTTTCATTTTTCAATACTTGCAATGCTTTTTATGGATATTTTTACCTGCACAAAGGAGAAAAGCGCTCATTTTCACTGAAGATCGTGAGTTTTACATGTAGCTGCTTCACAAGAATAGGACCCTTTAGTTAAGTGAAATGTATTGAATTTTCCCATTTCAATACACTCGGAGTTGCTCGGACCTAACCTCTGACGTCAAAGGAGTTCTACAACCTTGCTGAGTCAGTCATCTGACCTTATTTGAATTTCATATCAAATATTGCGCTTTTGAAATCAGAGTTACTTTTTTGCAGGCTCAACTCTGTGTTCTTGCATTCAAAGACTACTAACATACCGGTATTGTTGTAATTAATTTGAGGAATTACACAAATAAAGAAACCTTTTCGAAGAACTTTAGGCAGAGCGAAATATGAAAAGAGTGACAAGGAGGCAGTTTCAGGCGGAGAAATGTATCGACTTGATGCGTATTACTCCACCTACATGTATCACATCCGAGGTTTGAATGGAGCGTGGCGGAGTCAGCCGAGGATTGACGATCGATTTCAATAAGATGATAGAGTTACTTCCTCTGAAGGGAATCATTTACTGTGTTTAATACGCATGCGCTGTAAAGAAAGTCACTTCCGCTAGCTTTCTTGACATAATGGACAATCAAACGAAAAAGAAAGCGAAGTCTTTGGATATGGGTCGCGGAAGAACTGCTGCATATACAGCAATTGTAGAGGTAAAACTGTAGGAAGACGTGTCATCTATGGCACGCCAAATTCACAAAAATGAGCAAAACATAGTTTCACAGTCGATAAACTAGGTTTATCGGTTGAAACTATAGTTTACGGACTGTAAACTATAGTTAACAAAGTTAATCTATATTTTACAACTGTAAATCATAGTTAACGCGATAATCTATGTTTCACAACCGTAAACTATACTTAACACCAGAAACAATCATATGCGATCGCAAAACATAGATTATCTGATAAATACAGTTTCACGATTTGTAACCTATGGTTTGCAACTCTTAACTATAGTTAACGATCGTATAATTATAGTTTACAGACGTGAATCTATGTTTATCAACAAAATCTATTGTTAACGTTTTATTACAGACAGATAAACTAAGATTAGCATTCGTAAACTATAGTTAACAACTGTTAAATATAGTTTTACAGATGAAAACTATAATTAACGAATTGTAAACTATAGTTCACGGTTTGTAAACTATAGTTTACAGTCGATAAACCTAGTTTATCAATTGTGAAACTAGGTTTAACACGCCAAATTCACAAAAATGAGCTAATCATAATTTCACAGTCGATAAACTAGGTTTATCGGTTGTAAACTATAGTTTACGGACTGTTAACTATTATATTTTACATCTGTAAATCATCTGTAAATCATAGTTAACGGCCCTTGTGGTTAGAGCATCTGCTCTAGAGTCGCGAAGTAAGGAGTCAATCCTTACGTCGCGGGTTCGAATCCCACTGTGGGACGTGGAGACTGGTCCTTCGGATGAGACCGTATAAACCGAGGTCCCGTGTGGCAGTAGGTGCTGGTACGAAAAAGATCCCTCCCTGCTCAATGGCCCTGAGTGCCGAGCATAGGACAAAATTTGCAGCTCTCCACCGGCAAGTAGTGATGTCTCCATATGAGTGAAAAATTCTCGAGAGGGACGTTAAACAATATACAATCAATCAATCAATCATAGTTAACGCGATAATCTATGTTTCACAACCGTAAACTATACTTTACACCAGAAACAATCATTTGCGATCGCTAAACATAGATTATCTGATAAATACAGTTTCCCGATTTGTAAACTATGGTTTACAACTCTTAACTAGCTAGTTAACGATCGTAAATTGTTGTTTACAGGCGTGAATCTATGTTTATCAACAAAATCTATTGTTATCGTTTTATTACAGACAGATAAACTAAGATTAGCATTCGTAAACTATAGTTAACAACCTTTAAATATAGTTTTACAGATGAAAACTGTACTTAACGAATCGTTTACTATAGTTTACGGTTGTAAACTATAGTTTACAGTCGACAAAACTAGTTTATCAATTGTGAAACTAAGTTTAGCTCATTTTTGTGAATTTGGCATGCCATAGTCATCGGTCTCCACACTCAGATTTCCTAGCGACACAGGGAAGAAAAGAATGGCTATATTCATGACACTTTTATGAATCCGACACGCGGCCTCGGATTGGGATGTGCAGCCTGTGTATTGGGAGTATTTAAATTGATGACGCTCGTAAATTATCAAGTATTGTTTTGAATTTTGAACATCAAATCAAATATGGTATACACATATATATTATTTCACGCACTGGTAGTGTGATATATTAAAGAATCTACGAACATGTGATAAAAATTCAAAATCCATATTATTGACATTATCAATGAATGCAATTTAATGCGAAAAAACTTCAATCTGCACATTCAACATACATTTGAACATGTATATTTCTTAACTACATGTACACTGTATGGGCAATGTTATCTACTTCGAATATTTGTCAAACAATACACACTTCGAAGTCCAAATTTCGTTGGATAGGATGCACGTGTTGCGTACTCATGGTGGACATTGAATTTTTTAAGTCGGAAATACTATTTTTAATCAGCGTTTTTGCTCTACCAGCCCTTGCTTCAAAACAAATATCGTCGCTAATCGACAATCATTGCATTTTATGAGAATGTGAAATTAAGGATAAATAAATTGCTCATGGAATCACATACTTACATTTTAATAAAATTATCATAAAAGGAATTGCAGACTATGAATGTTCCTGAGAGCTTGATAAATTTTTGGACTTGAATTAGACTTACTCTGTGCCAAGTTTCAGGTAAGTTGAGCCGGTGTGATTGCGTGGACCTCACGGTCCACGCAGTAAATATATAAGCGAGGCTAAACAGGATGCCCTGGGCATACGCCAGCCTACGCATGCGCGAGAATTCAAGAGAGTTTCAATCGGCAATCTTCGGCTGACTCCGCTTCACCAATCGCAACTTCTCGGGCCTTTTCGACTAGCTTTCCGACATTTGACAGAAAGACCCGAGATGATGCGATTGAGAGTTCATTGGCGGATCCAAATTTTAATCTTGTACAATACTTTTAAACACGAACTAAACATTGAATCTATGGCACAAGCATTTTAGAAAGATGAAGAACTTACATTTAGCTAGTCATTGAATCTTTTAAAAACCTAGAACTAGAAAATTCAAGTTGTTAAGTTATCTATTAGTCGTTGAAATAGGCTGTAATCATGGTAATTTCGTTAAACTTCGGATTGATCTCGGTAGTTTACAGAATAAAATGCTTTTTCAGTTCGAGTCAATATCAAAGGCCACAATTCGAATATTTTTATTTCAATTGATAGATAATTAAAGAAAACAACAAAATGATAACAAATTTGTTGTTTAAATACGTTTAAATGTACATCTTTTAAAATAAAACGATATCTCCGAGACTAAAAAATTCAAAATGGCGGCGCTCATGAAAAGTCGGACAGGGAAGGAACGGTTCAAGAAAATACATAATCTGACGCGCGCCGAGGTGCTTTAGAAGATCGTACTTGTGAAATAAACTTATTTATGATTCCATGCATATTTGTGAGGAATGCTATGTTTTGTTCCAAATAAAAATAAAAAATAAATAAAACCTTTTATTTTTTAAATCTGACGTTATTATGTTCCCCAAACGAAGTTGGGGAACATATTGTTTTTACTCTGTTTCTTATTATTATTATGTTCCCCAAACGGAGTTTGGGAACATATTGTTTTTACTCGGTTTCTTATTATTATTATTATGTCGCCCCGAACGAAGTCGGGGACGACATATTGATATTGTACGCATGTTTTTTTTATCCAGGCTGTTTCTCGGAGGTGGCTGGGACAATCTTCCTGAAACTTTCCTCAAAGGACGATCACTGGTTGTATTTGTGCAGTGAGGTCGTTCAGTTCCAATATGTCTACCGTTGCCATGGAAACCTGTAAAAAGCGACGAATTTTGTCCGAGAGTGTTCTCTCTGGTCCCTTAAATGTTCGTCATGAAACTTTTCTTATTTTAATGATTAGTATCTGTATTTGTGCGCCTCGCATTTAAAATTTTCAAATAATCAATTATTGCCATGGAAACCAGGTGAAAGTTAAAATTCTTTAATATCGATTTTCTCAATAACTACTCAGGCAATTGTTTTGAAACTTTCAACGTTTATTCCTTGCAATGTGTCAAAGTGATTTCTACTTTCAAAATAATTGTAATGAGTCGCTCACAGTTGCCATAGAAACGAAACATAAAAAAGATTCAGATGTACACATGTGTTCTCCAAGGTCTAGGTCAAAGGGTCAAAGTTCGTCGTATCCAATATAAGTTCTTTTCACAAGGATTACATATTTGAAATATGAAAGCCCTAGTACTTACCGTTCAAACGTTATGGCTATTTACTATGTTCAAGACGACCCCCCCCCCTTTTGAAGCACACAGCCAAGTAGAATACACGGATATAACATATACAACTTACAAGTAATTTTTTAAAATCTTCATTCATGAAACTCAGTTCCCGTCATGTGATATTTTGCCATCATTCATTCTCCTTCTGTTTTGTCTCTTGAATTTATAAATATTTTATTTTATCTATATAAAAAAAAATTAACGATTGTCAGCTGCATTTATTATCATTTCGCGTTTTCTTGTATATCTATCACTTGTATATTATTCATTTCATTAGATAGTGCAAGTATAAATTAAAAAATTGGTACATCATTTCCATAGTTTTAATTTA